CGATGACCGTCTATGATTAGCAGCCTTCACCACTAAAGGAAACTGGAAGAAGGGGAGTGCTTTATTTTACTTTTGTGTAGTAGCAAGAAAAACTAGAATCTGCCCACATATCACAATGGTACAAAAATGGTAAATATTTCCATCCAAACCTTTCCAATTCTATGTGGATTGTATTGGTTGCCAGTGGTCTACTTGTAACATTGAATGGTAGCTTCAGTTGCATGGTAAGCTTCAGTTGCATAGACTCCATGTGTCTGTTATAATGAACAGACAAATCTGGGACTTGTGTACACCCCTATAATCCATAGAAATCCACCTAACTGCCTCACAACTAGCCAGCCTGCCTTCTACAAGGCAGCTGGTGAGGGGAAGAGAAAGTATCTCTCGTAGTCCCATGTAGACCCAACATGGAAAAAGTTTATAAGCTCTTGGTTCCTGTGCAAGACTCATTCAGTGGGCCATCTCTGGGAGCGCTAATGATGCTCTCATGAGACCTTGTGAAACAATCTGACTTTTTGCAAGGTCTCGTTATAGCATCCCCACCTTGCCTGAGAATAGCTAAAACCACATACGTTGAAAGTGTATAAGAAGCAGGCATAGTGTAATGACAGAATCCATTTGAGCTAACTCACCTTTAATATAGGTCTATGGCCCTATATTTAAGAATAAGCCAACTATTCACAGCCAATTATTCAGTCAGCAGCAAACAAAAACAAAACCTGATAAAGTTTAAATAATCTATCATAATCACACACACTTTAGGGCTTCTCAACACAAAAAAAGCCAATAATATGGTTAGGCAGTTCCTGGACATTTCAAATTTCAATTGGGAGGTGGGACAAAAAAAAAAAAGGAAGTCCCCTTCACATTGATAACTGTAGAGATTCCCTGACATCAAATTTTCTTTGTGAAGGGAGATTTTATAAATGAATTAATGGGAGGGTATTTTATCATTTGAGTCTCACATCAGCCTGAAGTGGTACAGTCCAGGAGCAATTTTACCATGTTTGAGAGACATGTAGACAAAAATCTATGTCACATGCATGTTCAGAGGAAATTCACATTTGTGTGTTCATCACTATTTCTGTAGCTTCGCACACAAACCTAATTTGAGTACTGACAACAGAATGTGTGAACTATGTCTGAGGTGAGATCACTGTTCTGAAGATTCTACTGATGATTCTACATCTGTAATGGCTTGTTTACATACGAAAGTCACCACAACACTGCAGCCATGAGCATGCACGTTTGAACAAGGCCTATGTGACTTTTTGGTGGCAGTAGCCCTTTTAACTTTAGCATCAAGCAATGGCTTGCACATGTGAATTAGCAATCACATATTAATTGCCACAGACAGAACTTTAGTATTATCTACTGTGAAAACACACACAGTATTTTCAGTGGGGGAAAGGCATGCATTCTTCAGAGAGCCCCCAAATATATGATGAATCAATACAATGAAAGGCTGGTACCTGGATGTCTGACCCACCCAACCCAAAAAGTGCATTTGGTGCAAAAATAACAAAAAAACCAAAAACAAATCAGTAGCACACTTTTAGTATTTTTCCCTGGGTGTACTTAAAAAACAACTACTGATCTCTATACTCTGGCTTCTCTTCAGATCGTATTATTCTATAGCACTTGTTATTCTAAAGTGCTTCCTCTCCTCAACAGGTGTGGTCCACATCCTGATAAAACTATTGACAAATGTGTCTCGTTGATTTGTATGGACCTGGATAACACCCAACATAGCATCTATCTTAGTTCCAATTCTAACAAATAGCAGAGCCTTCTTCAGGCATTATGTTCCTTATGTGACATGGGAGGGAACAGGGATGAGCTCGTGGTCTCCACCTCCACGTTGTCCATCCCCACTGCACTCCATAAACTGAGGGCTTTCTGTCTGCATAGGGGAGCCTTATCTACTTGTCTGCCTCTTCTTTTTTTGTCCTGTCTTATGGATCAGCAATTCTCAACCTGTGGGTCCCCAGATGTTGTTGGACTACAACTCCCATCATCCCTAGCTAGCAAGGCCAGAGCTCAGGGATGATGGGAGTTGTAGCCCAACAACATCTGGGGATCCACAGGTTGAGAACCGCTGTTCTAGATTGTTAGTTGAGGGAAGGCACTGTTTTGCTTTTATTGATCTGGAGTACTACTACTACTACTACTACTAATAATAATAATAATAATTTGTTTATACCCCGCCCATCTGGCTGGGTTTCCCCAGCCACTCTGGGCGGCTTCCAACAAAATATTAAAAATACAATAAAACAACAGACATTAAAAACTTTCCTAAACAGGGCTGCCTTCAGATGCCTCCTCTGCAAGCCTTTATTTATTTATTTTTGGCTGAAGAGTAGGGCAAACATTCTTTAAACAAATAAATAAATACTTGCTGATTATGATAAATAGTCTTAAGGAACTTTAAATACTGCTTTTTTTAAAAAAATGAATAAGGTGTCAAACAATTGGTCAGAAACTCAAAAGATGCTAGCAGAGTAGTATCTCCCTATATACATTAGAACGTAACATGTTGGCGGCTATGCCAAGTGCAGCATGAGAAACAACAGGCCAGCCCAGGCACAGTGTTTAATAGAGCACTGGTTAAATGTACCCACAGCAAGGTTTAATGGAGAGCTGAGGAGCCCTTAACCCAGCAGTTTAGCAGCTCACTGGGCAAAGCACCTCATGTCCCCATTAAACACACCTGTAGGGAGGAGAGGCATTTCACAGAGCAGTTTCGTGAGCTCTGTTAAACCTTGAGTTGGGTGGGGCTGACAATCTGATGGGCAGATGGGAGCTCACATCCAGCCACTCCCACTTCACTGAAATCAGACCTTCAGACCTTCTCCTTCAGACCTTCACTGAAATCTGAAAGCTCTGTGCTTCACTTTGAAGTCCTGACCTCACTATGACATCAGGGATTGACAATTGGACAGCATGGGGGTGGAATGAGCTCAGTGAGTGAGTGGAAGGAGCTGGGGAAAATTTTGGGAAGGTGTAAAGAGTAAGTGGCGTTGACAAGAAGAGTGAGCACCAGTGGAACCCCCATGTGATGCTGACAGCAACAGCTCTAGCTCTGCTTTATCTATTTGATTGTGTAGTTGGAGCAGGAAGTGAACTGTCCTCTTCATTGTCTTACAGGTGCAGTGGAAGGGTATTTCCTCTGAACTCATACAATCCCTAACACCAAGCCACTTCCTCAGCCTTATCCAGGTTTTTCTTATTTGGGAATAGTCTCATTCAAGTACTGTACGTGTGCAGAGCCGTCTTTCCCATAGGGCTTAGTGGTGCGTCACGCCAGGGTGCTGGCCTCTCAGGGGCGCCCCAGCGAGTGGGGGAGCTGTGCGGCTTTGCCAGTGGCCTCCCCTTTCCCTGCATGCCCGCCAGCTGTGCCCCGCCAACCATATGGCTGGCAGGCAAACAGCTTCCCTCCCAAGCCTATACAGGGATTGCTCTCCTGCAGCAGCATGGGGCAGAGTTGCACCCCACCCAATGGCTGGCAGTTTGCAGCTTCGCCCCTCCCACACTATCTGTAGTAATTTGGGGGCGCTAGGCAGATATTTGCACCCCAGCGCCGCATCTGCTAAAGAAATGGTAACATAAGAAATGGCAGTTTTACACATTTCTTATTTGCATTTCATAATGCTAGCTCCAATTCTTTTCTCATCTCTGTGGAAATATGAATGGTAAAGAAATCCCAAGGAACAATAAGTGGGTCTGGTTTTGCCACACCTTACACATCAGAAAGACATACAGTTGCAATCACTTTCTAACCACTTATTTCATTTTCAAAGAACAAGAATAAAGGAATGTGACATGAAAGAGCTGCCTATTTGAATGGCCTATCCCATACCCCAGCTTTGCTCCAGCTTTAACCATAAAAATATAGCAACACATTTGATTCTACATCATGATCAACTGCATGGGGTGCCACAAAACAAATACCACATTTCTTCAGTATGTCTTGGGGAAGCAATGCATAATTTCTGAGAGAGGAAAGCATTTGTCTGCCTTGGAAGGTGCACCGACTAATCTAGGGTGTGCATGAGGATTGTCCTTGGAAGAAGTGAGAAAAGGCACTCTACAGAAACTCACTCTGCTTTGAACATTCCTGGAGTTTTAACTTTGGCACAACAAATAGATGGCAGGGCTAAGTCCAGTCCAGATGCAAAAAGGAGCTCTGCAGGAGAGGTCATTGGCCTAAGACTTTTCCAGCCCATCATTCCTTCAGGAGGATGAAAGTTTCATTCTTTTATTTCTCCAACCTCTGGGACCCTCCCAGCTTATGTGGCAAGCTGGGAGATTTCTTCCTCATGGCCTTCCCACAAGAATGTGGGAAACTGCCATTGGACAAGTATTGACCACTTCACTTCTACGGAGTCTTTCCCAGCCCTACACAGAGCAAAGGGTAGCCCATAAGAAGAAGAATCAAAAACCATATTAAGGCAATGCTTTTATTAGACCAGAGCAGTGTGGAAACTTCCAAGTTCTCCAGAACTCTTCACCCATCTAACCACATGGAAGAGCTCAAAATCTCACACACTATTTTGTGTCATAAGGGTTGGCCCAATAAATACATTGCCCTAACGTGGATTTTGGAGTTTTCCCTGCCTACCTACTCAAGGTCCCTTTAAATAGTGCTGAGATTGTGATCTGCATGCAAAGGAGAGCTATGGACCCCTCCCTCCCCCCCAAAAAACTTCCTACCTAGCATGCAAATCAGAAACCTTGCCAGGGGAAAAGGTGGCAACCCTGCCAAGGGTAGGAATCGCAAGCGTCCGGGTTGCCACATCTCTTGTTCTAACCAGGCTCCTATGCCTTTAATAGTCGCCCGACGTGAGAGACATTCGGAAGAGAAAGCTTTTCCCGCCCGGCTGTGCAAATGTGGCGGGGAAGACCCCACCTGCTTAAACATCATGCAGCTTATCATGCACCGGAAATAAAGGAAGGAATAAATAAATTAAAAGCGGGGAGGCCGCCCCAACCCCGCCAGTCTAGCAGCGGCTCCTGCTCTCGGCAGCCACGCGGCCTCCGGGAGTGCTGCGCCCCGACGCCACCTCCCTGGAGCCGCCGGTCGTCGCTCTGGCGAAGAAGATAGTCCTGGGCTCGCTCCTGGATTTGTAGCTGTACATGAAAGGCACGGTGGAGGCGAAGAGGAGCACGAGGGCGACGCCGAGGAAGATGGAGCCCGTCAGCCACTCCATCCACGCGAAGCCCAGCAGCACCATGGCCAGGAAGGTGAACACCAGGCAGACGCATCCCGCCTTCCGCCGGCAGGAGGCGCAGCAGTGGCCGTCGCCGGGGTCCTCCGAGCAAGAGGCGTCCGGGCTGCCCACGGTGATGGTGGCCGCGCCGCTGCTGCGGTCCGACGACGGCGAGGGCTGCCGGGCGGGGGGCCGGGGCACCTGCAGCAGCAGCAGGCGCTGGGCGCGCAGGTCGCGCAGCAGAGGCGCCCAGCCGCGCAGCTGCTGCAAGATGCCCTCCACCAGCTTGGTGTTGACGGGCAGGCTGTGCACGCGGCCGTCGGGCAGGGCCGTGCGGTGCCGGCACACCGGGCACGTGAGGTGGGAGTCGGGGGGAGCGCCCCGGCCGCGCGGAGAGTGCTCGCCGCCGCGCAGGTGCAGCTGCGCCAGGCAGTCCTGGCAGAAGGTGTGCAGGCACTCCAGCAGCTTGGGCGCGTGGCGCTCCAGGTCGAAGAAGTTGTAGCAGATGCGGCACTCGTACTCGCCCGAGCTGAGCAGCGCCTCGGGCTGCGGCGGCGCGGAAGGCGGCGCGGAAGGCGCCCGGATGGCAGCTTCTGCAGCAGCAGCAGCAGCAGCAGGAGGAGGAGGAACAGGCTGCGCCTCGGTCCCTTTCAGCGCCTCCCCCTCCTTGCCATCCTGCCGAGCCCCTCCCTCGAGCTCGCCTGGGTTGCAGGCTTCCTGCTCTGCCTGCTGGTCCATGCTGTCCTCCTTTCCTCCGCGCATCAGGGGGCCGGGGCGGGAGATGCTCACTTTCCCCCTCCCCGGGATTCCGCGGGCTCTTCACATCCTCAGCTGGCCGCAGTTGCGCGTGATGCTCCCCCTTCCTTCCTCTCTCCTTTGCCTGGCGAAGGAGGCTTCGGCACCCCCTCGGGATGGCTTGGATCTCAGCACGACTCCCCTCCCCTCCCCCGCCTCCGGTGCCCCTCTTAAGGCTGCTTCTCCCCAGCCCGGTGACGTCACGCGGGTAGCCCCCCCTCCCGTGGCCCGAGCGGGCAGAGGCTCTCTCCGGCGGCGGCGGCCCCGCCACTCCCTCTCCGGAGCGGTCGGCCTGCCTGAGCGTGAGCTCATTTCCTCGGAGAGGGAAGCCGGAAGCTGCCGCCTGGCTTAAGGGGGCGGGTTTGGGGGGAGCGCCGGGACGAGCGGAGGAAGGGGAGACGGCGGGGAGCGAGACCCGCACCGAAGTGCTGCTATGCGGACAAGGCGTTCCACCCCCATCCCGTGTGTGTGCGCGCAAGTGCTTTCAAATGCGTGTGCATATTTATATAGGTATAACAGAGAAAGGTAAAGGGGCAAGAGAGCCTCCCCCCCCCCGCGCCAGATTAGTTGCACAATACATTAAATTCACTAATTCAAAACGCATTCAAATAAAGGTGCCCGTCCATAGCCGCCCGCGAGTGCCAGGAGGTTCCCATGCTCCTTTGGAACCGTGTGTGAAATAAAGCTTATTTAACAGCACTGTTCTTTTAGAAGTGTTATGGAGAGAGCGAGAATCATAGAGTTGGAAAGACACTCCGTGGGTCATCTAGTTCAATGCAGGAATCTTTTGCCCAATGTGGGGCTTGAACCCACAACCCTGAGATGAAGAGTCTCAGGCTCTACCAACTGAGCTATATATAAACGAGTCTGAAGCACGTTTTTTGTGAAAGCTGCCTGCTTTTGTTGTTGTTTCTCTACCATTAGGTATCTTGCTGTTAATTTATCCACTAAGCCCCATGTTTGTATTATTAGCCACACTTGGTAAAAGTTTGGGTTCCGCTGTATGGATGTTTAAATAATGGCTGCACTTCATAAGTGGCTGCAAATCATGCCATGCACATAAGGGGGTAAAACAAACTTTTCATTACGATTTATAAAATTCAGTATTGTCAAAAAAGAGTGAAGAGGCGGAAAGGTAAAGGGACCCCTGACCATTAGGTCCAGTCGTGGCCGACTCCGGGGTTGTGGTGCTCATCTCGCTTTATTGGCCAAGGGAGCATGACTAAGCCACTTCTGGTGAACCAGAGCAGCGCATGGAAACGCCGTTTACCTTCCCGCCAGAGCGGTACCTATTTATCTACTTGCACTTTGACGTGCTTTCGAACTGCTAGGTTGGCAGGAGCAGGGACTGAGCAATGGGAGCTCACCCCGTGGCGGGGTTTCGAACCGCTGACCTTCTGATTGGCAAGCCTTAGGCTCTGTGGTTTAACCCACAACCACCACCTAAAGGGGAACAACATTATTTTTGTTATTAATAGCACATACAATTTTGGCATGTATTTTTTTTTATTACCTTGGGCTGAGGGTAGATGTTCTAAGGCAGGGGTGCTTACACAACTACCTCCGTTTCATACACATTGCCATTTGAAGAGGGCAGAGCATTAAGCCCAGAGCCTAAAATTACCAACTGCACATCTGTATCCCTGACCCTGCAGTGATGCTGTTGCCTGCCATAGAACAGCCAGCACTAGATTGTATGGACCAAAGGTACCTTCTTATGCACCTTTTTCTGGCTCCACTGAGTAGCATTGTGACTGGTTGGTTTTCATTTTTAAAGCATGTAAAACATTTTGCCCCATCTTTCTTCTAGCTGTGTTCAAGGCAGATCTTAATAAGAAAAGACTGAAACAAAATTCTAATACAAAGCAAAGAAACACAAACAAAACCCAGAATAATCCAAAGCCACAGACAACAAATAACAACATCCATTAAGACCAATTTCCAGCAACATTAGAACAATTTTCCAATCAGACTTAAAACACTTAGTGCCCAAAAGCCTTCCTAAAAATGCTTCAGGGGCATTAGCAAGAGATCAAAGCAGACTTCCCTTCAGAAAGAGTTACAGAGTTACAGAAGAAAGGATCCTTCAGATATCCTGACCCCAAACCATCAAGCAGGAATGGAGAACTTGTGGCCTTCCAGGTGTTGTTAGACTCCATCTTCCATCAGTCTCAGCCAACATCTGGATGACCACAGATTACCAATCCATGCCATACATAAAGTAATCATCAGTATTTTGATTTGAAACCAACTGGAAGCTATCATCAATAACATGGTGTTCTATGTTCCCAACAGGCAGCCTGCTGTGAACAATTTCAGGCTAACAATCCTAACCTGCCCCCATTGACAGTGCTTGGCATAATGGCTGGGCTACTACCACATCCTCAGCCCTACTGATCATAGAATCGTAGAATTGTAGAGTTAGGGACCCTGAGGATCATCTAGTCCAGCTCCCTGCAATGCAGGAATATGCAGCTGGTCCATACAGGGAACAAACCTGCAAGCTTGACTTATCAGCGCCATACTCTAACCAACTGAGCTATCACAGCAGCCATGGTGGAAGGTGAAAGATCAGGGCTGATTTCTTCACATGGCAGCTAAGGAAACAGCTCAGGATCTGTCCCGTCCCCACCCTCCAAACACCCCATTTGGGGGGTTTCCGCTGGTTCCTGCCAGCAGGGAATCTGCCAGCATGGCACTTCCCCATCTTGCAACCAGTGGGAGGCTGGCTGAGCCAGGGTAGTTGGGCAGAAGGACACCTACCAAACCCACCATCCCTAGTCCAGCACAAGGGGAGGATTGCATTGCTCTGTTATTCACTGCTTTGTGGACCTATTAAAGCTCCTGGACACAGGAGGCAGCCTCATAGAGTGTGCTGCAGTGGTCCACATTTGAAAGCGTGTGTTATCTTCAAGTTCCAGGAACTGACACACCTGGTGGAGAAGCCTAAGCTGGGCAAAGATGCATCTGGCTACAGCCATCACCTAGACGCCCAGAACCACCCATTCCACAAATGGGGCACAAAACAGCTTAGCAGAATATCATCAAATAGTAGCAACATAAAATGTTACATGTGAGATCTTTCCGCCTTATTTGGAAAATTTGCAATGGCTCACTCACTGTTGCCCTTCAATCGCACACTCCATTTCCTTGGCAGATCCCGTTCTAAAGTGCTCCCTTTATGCAAAGATGCAACCCACATCCTAACTGCAAGGGGCTCATTTATTTTAATGGAACCGAATCACACTCCATCACAGCTTTTGCTAATGTGATACAAAAAATAAGAATTTTAATTCTCTTGTTTGCCTTGAGGCAAAATGAATAATAAAAAACCCATTGTGACCTATCCAAAGATGGTGAAAACAAATATGAAACAGGCTATGGCATGCTGTGACAGACACCCTCACTGAAGGTGGGTGCTGGGTAACGTGACTGATTTGTGGGTGTGTTCATAGATTTAAAAAACCCTCCCTTTTGTAACCTCAGGAGAGGTCTATGATTAACTATTTCTGGTAGTGTTTTTATTATTATTATTAAACAGCAGCAAGGTATTGTGCTTCTGTGAAGGCTGCCTGATAACCACTCTTCCCCCCCATCCAGTGGGTGAAAGTATGAGAAATCACTTCTGCAACAAAACTGAATTGTTTATTTATTTACACTCTATGAGGGTTTAAAGTGTGATAGCTTCACAAGTGAGGACAAAGCTTCTTTTAAGACACACATTCATAACAGAGAATTTCAAAGCAGCACTAGTTTTGAAACCAAGTCTCAGGAAGACTTTTTCCTCCTGGAATAGCTATCAGTGTCCTAACTAGCAATACCCACGTAGCCCCTTCCAAGATTTAGCTTCCTCTCAGGGAATCCAAACTGAGTTGCACTACCTGGCTCACCCCACTTAGACAGTCCAAGCTCCCAGCTCCCCACAGTAACATTTAGTCCCTATCTATACCCACTGACAGGTAATCCCTGTCTGAGCCCACAGAGATAGTCAGAACCCCCCAATGCCCACACTGATGAAAAGTCCCTTCTATCCTCAATGACAGATAGTCCCTATCTGAACCCTCTCAGTCAGAGACATCATCTGCCCACAGTGACAGAAAGTCCCTCTCTCTCACTCCTGATTGGCTGGGGGTTTCATCAGCCCTTGATGGTGGCTCCATCACCAGAGGCTGTCCCAGGGCCTCCCCACCACACATGCATTCTTTGAAAACTAGTATGAAACCACATGCTTTAAATACATTTTCCTGGATGTGCGGTATACTAATGGCCCCTAATATTACTAGACAAGGAGTTCCAGAGAAAAAGCACGGATTGATTCCTTGCAATGAAACAATGGACATTATTTGGCACTTATAAAAGTGCCAGTTCCACAGACTTAAATGTTGAGAGGCTAATGTGTTCCTTAAAGTAAACTGGCCCCATTGGGCTCTGAAGGTAACACATTGGTAAGGTTATTTATAAGCACTTCAACAATTTAACCTCTTAACTCTCCACGACACACCCCTTCCCCCCACCCAAAAAACTGAATGACATCAGAGGGTGCGTATGCTATGTACAAAAGGACTGCAGTTATGACAATCACAATCAAACATATTTAAGTATCATAAATATTACAGAGAAAAAACAGCACACTGAAGAATGCACTCTAAGCATGGGGTGTTCCCTCCTTCTGCATAATCTAAAATGAATGTTTAAAAGGACCCTTGAATTCAAGCTCCCATGTACAGCCTTTTATTTTACAAGTTGTGTACGAGCAAACCCTAGTCATAGTCACATGGCTAACAGGCTGCAAATGTTACACAGTTTCCCAAAGTTCAGATCATGCATATGAAATCTCAGATTCAGACAGGAATATTTTAGAGCATTTATAGTTTTAAATCTCAAAGCACAGCAAGCAGGACTTCAGATTAAGCAGCATTTGGAGTTTTACTTTCAAAAGGCATTACGTGTAAACCTAAGGTAGATATGTTTGGAACAGTTGCAATTCAAAATATACAGTTACTTATCATCTGAGTATACACGTTCAGTTTACAGAGCTCCTTTACATAGCATTTATCCTTAATCTTTACCGTATTTCTCTTTATTTATTTAGTTTAGCATTGCATTTAAATCCTCCAAGGAGCTCAAGGCAGTATAATACATAGTTCGCCCCCTTATTCAGATGATCCATTGAGCTTCATGAATGGAGCCATGAACCCAGGTCCTAGTCCAATATGCTGACTCACTCAAAGGGGTCAGCAAATGTACAGCACACTCTGACACAGCAGCTTGGAAACTATAGGAGCTTCAAGACACACTGGGCCATTGTCATAGTTTTCCTTAGGAAATTAGGTGGATCTAAGGCATTTCCCCCTTCCCTCTTGGAAATAAGCTGGGAGAATCGCAACTGGAACTTTGCCCACAAGGCACTCTGAGTCCCAGACCTCATTTGGTGTAGCTGCTTCTTCAGAAACAGGAATGGGGTTTACATTTGCTTTAGGCACTCATTGTTGTTCAAAGTTCTAGCAAGACTGGGAGACTCTAACCTCAGTGAGATACCTACTGCATGCTCAAAATGTTGTACAGAAACACAATAGTCCATGTTCAATTTATTAAATTTTATCCCTGCAACTTGGTAGGTTATGAGTTTGAGGTAAAGGGTTGTTAACCAGCGGCCCTCCCATCTACAGATACATACTACAACTTCCATCATCCCTGACTTTTATTATTCTGGGTAGGAGCTGATGGGAGCTGCAGTCCCACAACAACTGGAGGGTCCCTGTTTCCCCAGCCCTACTTTTGATCAACACAATGATCCATTTAAATTCCAGTGGATACACAGCTCCAAAGTTAGAAAATTCGATTTTTTAAGAAAAAAATGCAAATTGCATCTGTTGTGGGAGTGATAATGGGATCAGGCCACACATGAATTGAGGCTATGACAACCCTCTTTCTTCCTCTGCTGCAGTCCTGAGGAAAATCAGCTATTTGCTTTGGTGAGGGGCTTCCTTTGGTTGCAAGTCCCCACTTGAATATATTTAGCAATCTCAGTTCTTTGAGTGCTAGTCCTTATGTAGTACTGTATGTACCCAAAAAGGCACCGTCCATGCAGAAGAGGGAGCTTTGAGCAGGTTTAGGGGAAGCCCAAGGCTTGCAGAAGTATAGAAAGAACATCACAGGGAGGACAGAGTATACTCATTGGCAGTGGAATGCTGACTGGATGTTGCCAAGAGGAAAGGAAAACCAGGGGAGGAGTAGAAATGGACTGGATTGTCCTGGAAGAAGACAGGGCTGCAGCTAGCCAGCCATGAGCAGAAGCACTTCATGCTGCAACTTTTTGTTGCAGGTTCCCCTTGTAGATATTAATAGCAAAATCAGTTCTTCGGGTGTTGGTTCTTATGCAGCCAAAGTGTCATTACCAAGAAACAAGAAGGGGATATCAACACATTTAGGAGAAGTACACAAAATATTTAGGGAGAAAAACTATGGGGCAAATGTCTTCCCCACCAAAAAAACAAAACGTCCAATGGAGACTGTACACACAGAATACTGTCTGACTGCTGGTGAGAAGAAGAGAAAGGAGTGGCTGGAACCCTGAAGAGGAGCATTGCCACACTGCAAGATGTCATACATACACATTTATATACATTTTCTACAATGTAACTCATGCTATAAGATGCTATTTTTGTAGATGCATCTATATGCCTTGTGGATTTTTGCATGAAAATGTTAATGATTTATATGAATGTTTAATGGTGTTTATGTTTTTAAGTATAAACCGCTTTGAGATCTTGGTAACAAGTGAGTAATAAACCTATTAACAACAACACTGATAATTCTCTATATGGAGACAAATCCCTTTAATTTCTGATTTCAACAGTCTTTTAAAAGTTCATTTTCTTCTCTCACAGGGCAGAAGTGAGAACTGGCCAGAGAAATCAATGGAGAAATCAAATATTTTACTGAATCTGTGATCAGGCTCCAGCCTGTTCACCCCAAAACAAAAAGGTACAAGCAAAAATAAAAGTTCACATTTAATTTATGTGAACCATTTGATTTTTTTGATTTTTTTGATTTAGTTGTGGAATATTTAAAAGTGTGCCTTTTCTGCAGGCAAGGCAGTGGAGCACTGGAACTGACTTGGAAGGACTGGGTTACACTTTGCATGAGCTGTTTTTTGGCTGTGAATAAGTGAGCCTCAACCCCACTTCTTACCAGCAATATTAACAGTAGAATACAGTGCAAAGCCATCTCAAACTAGTGTCTCTCAGAGCAGCTCCCCAGCCTTCAATAGGGGAATAATAGAGCGGACTACCTCACACAGTTGTACTGTAACCTAAGCTGACTCCCAACTTGTAACAGGCGATATGATGTAACTGGGCAACATGGGAGGGTTGTTGTACACAATGAATTCAACTCCTAACTGCAATATAATTTCAGAATTGACAGGGCTGTTGTAAACCATTATCTCTCAGCCACAACCCCTTCCAACACGGGAATGGATGCTTTTGCATTGGTATTTGCAATGGCAGGGCAATTTTTCAAAGGATGATGATGATAAAGAAATGGCTTAAATGCCTCTCTTTTTATTATTTGTCTGGGGATGGAAAGGCATTAAAATCTGTTCCATTGATTTCTACTTTTATCTCCCACTTGTACTGGAGGGGTGGGGTTCACATTACAGAAAATGGGAACCACCCAAAGTCTTGTGGCATTTTCAAGATTAACATATTTATTATAGATCATCTGCTGCCTTAGACGGAGCATAAAGTGCCCCTCTCCAAATTCAGGGTGCACAGTCAAGTGATTTTGGCAGCTTAGGCAGAAACACCAGCATGGACCTCCTTTCACCCTCCCTGGCAATAAAAAAACATAACAATCGTTTCTGAGTGTACATGGCTCCCCTAATAGGGCCAGCCTATTAGGCAGAGTGAGGTGTGGGCAGGGAGCAGTGGGATGGTGCTGAAGGGCAGAGCTGTGCATGCCATCCAGCCCCGTCGTGCCCTGGCCAACACCCTTTAAGTTAGTCTGCTGTCCCTTCACCAGTGCTGAAGTACGACGCTGCTGCTAGCCTGGTTGGTTTCTGTGCGTGGAATGGAAAGGCTTCCCATTCGGCTGGCCACCGTGAGAATAGGATGCTGGTCTGCGATGGGCCATTGACCTGATCTAACAGGTCTCTTCTTACGCTCTTTGCCTAACGGTAGGGCAGGTCCCCATTAAGCCCTTTATGGGCCAGAAGTCCACCAGCACGTCTTCAGATGCAAGAACCTAAAAGGGAAGGACCAGGCAGGGTGGGCAAGGAGGGGATTCCCTCTGGTATCTCCTAATCTCTGTGTAGCAGAGGATGAGGCAACAGGGCAAGATGCAGCAGAGGGAGGCCCCCAGGAATAGGACCCACGGGCTCCAGTTCCACAGCAGAGCGCTAATGAACGCTATGGAGAAGAACGCCCCGAAGAGGAGGCAGAAGGCGACCCACACCCAAGGAATTTTCTCCACGAGCCGCTGGGGGCGACCGTGGCAAGTGTGGCATCCCGAGCCCGGCTCCGCTTCTCCGTCGGGAACTGAAGAAGGAAGCGGCTGGGGCGCCGTCCGGTCGCTGCTGCTCCTGCCGCCGCCCTGGTCCGGCAGGGGGCGCTGCTGGGCAGGCTGGACCGCCGCTTGCGAAGGCCGAACAGGCTGCAAGGGCTTTGGAGGCAGCGGGCAGGTTGTGGCGGCCAGTGCGCGGTCGACGGGCAGGTTGGACACGCGGCCGTCTGGCAGGGCTGTCCGGTGCCTGCAGAGCGGGCAAGTGATGGTGGCCGCGCCGGGATTACTGTGGCGGAGGCCGCGCCTGCAGCGCTCGGCTTGGTGTACCTGGCTCAGGCAATCCAGGCAGAAAGTGTGGAGGCACTCGAGCTGTCGGGGCGGGCGGCACTCCACGTCGAAAGGGCCGTAGCAGATTCGGCATTCCTCCGTCCTGGGAGGAGCAGACATCCCCGCCGGCTCCCCTTGGGGACCTCCCGGCTCCCCATCCGGACCTGCTTTTGCCTCCAAGCTGCTGTCGCCGCAATCGTCTGCGGTGTCGTCCATCGTCTCATCCGAGGGGGTGGGGCGCCTCTCAGGAAACCCCCTGCCCTGCTCGGCCTTCCTCTCGGCTGGCTTGGCTCCACGGGAAAAGGGGGTGGTGGGGAAAAGCACAGCTCCGTGGGTGGAAAAGCAAATGCTGGGCGGGGGGGTATTGACGGCGACGGAGCGCTGAAGCCAAAACAGGTGGTCGTCTCTCTGTCCCTCTCTCAATGCATTTCAGGTTGCGTGGTTCCCCCTACCCCGTCACTGCTTCCGGGTCTCTTGGATCGTATAGCGGTCCTTTCCAAGTGTAGCCACAGGATGCTCCCCCTCCCCCTCCATCATGAGCTAGTCGATGATGTCATTCCAGGGGGTTCTGCATGGATTACGGACATGCCAAGCAGTGATTCCAGCGTCAATTCCCGGAAACGATCATTCACTATGTAACCCTTCCATCTCCTTCCTTTCCCTGCGGATAGAAAGCCTGCATGTGGCAGGGATTTTGGTTGTTGTTTTTTAAAAAACAAAACACACACACACACACACATTTGAATTTCGATAAAGGAGGGCTGGCTCTCCGGACGTTCTGTGAAAGTGTGCGATATGTGTTAATTTTCTGGAACCCCTCCTAAAATCTGAAGGTGGGAAGGAGGCACAGAAAATCACCCACATATGATGCTGACCTGCTCAAGGCAGGACTGGGGAACCTACCGCCCTCCAGATGTTGTTGGAGTCCAATTCACATCATCATAGAATCATATAATTGGATGGGACCCTATGGGTCATCTAGTCCAACCCCCTGCAATGCAAGAATTTCAACGAGCTCATACATGACAGAGGGACATCCAACCTCTGCTTAAAAACCTCCATGGATGGAGAGTCCACAACCTCACATGGAAGTCTGTTCCACTGTCAAACAGCTCTTACCCTCATAAAGTTCTTCCTAGTGTTCAGTCAGTATCTCCTTTCTTGTAACTTGAATTCATTGGTTCCGGTCACAACCTCCAGAGCAGGAGAAAACAATATTGCACCATCTATCGTATGGTAGCCCTTTAAATAAACAGTGGTACCTTGAGTTACATACACTTCAGGTTACACATGCTTCAGGTTACAGACTCCGCTAACCCAGAAATAGTACCTCAGGTTAAGAACTTTGCTTCAGGATGAGAACAGAAATTGTGCTCCGGCAGCGCGGCAGCAGTGGGAGGCCCCATTAGCTAAAGTGGTGCTTCAGGTTAAGAACCGGAATGAATTAAGTACTTAACCCAAGGTACCACTGTATGAAGATGGCTACCATATCTCCACTCACTCTCCTCTGGCCAGGGAAGACGAGAGTTGAAGTACACCACCACCACAGGGCCAGAGGTTTCCATCCCTCTGAGAGTGCACAGTAGGAAGAGCATTGTGGTTCGTTTTGGCTCCCATCCACATTCTTTCAGTTCTGCCTTACTACTCATGTGGTTCAAAGAGCTGCCCCTTCAATATTATTAAAGCAGCCAAACCTTCAATCAAATCCAATGCATTCTCTGCCCCATCTTGTCTGATGAAAGTGGCATTCAGATCCCGAATAGCTAACCTGGTTTGCATCTGCAACACTGGTAGATGTTGTAACTACACTATAACATTTTGTTTTGTGTCCCTGTGCTTGATTGACTAAGTCTTATGACTTCTTCACACATTACTCCTGAAAGATACACTTTCTCCTGGTGATGGAGAGGAGGGGATTCATATGAGAAATGAAACTTTTTGTGTTGATTTCAGAGAAAAGATGCACAAGCTTAAACATTGTTTCAAGAGTTCTGACCAAAATTTGTCAATGAAAGACTTCTGTAAACAGGCATTAGGAGCACAGGAAAGTTGCCTTTCCTGGGACAGACCAGCTGGCCATCCCTAGCTAGCAGGAGCAGTGATCAGGGAAGATGGGAGTTATAGTCCAACTACATCTGGAGACCCAAGGTTGAGAAAGGCTGGTCTACACTAACTTGAAGAAGCACTCCTGGGTTCCAACCCAGAGGCTGTCCCTGGCCCACTTGGAAAGCTCCTGAGTTTCCGGTAGGTAGTCCTGACCAGCCCTGCCTCAGGATGTTGGAGATTTGACCTGGGACCTTTTGCATGGAAAGCATGAGCTCTACCACTGGGCTATAGTCCTTCCTCAAGGTTGGGGCAAATTCTGTGATGAAACCTAAATAAAGGCTAGCATGCTCTGTCCAAGAGATTGTCACAAAATGATTTTTACTTTAAGTTAACCAGTTAGAGGTTTTCATGATTATAATAGAAACAAATAGATAAATAGGCAGGCAGGCAGGCAGATGGATAGCCTGGATAGTCATTTTAGGATGAAGTAAGTTCAACAGGTAAGTACAAATGCTGTTCCCAACCTATTATGATTTTGGCTGTGCCGTTTATGGAGAATGAGCCTATCATTGAAAAAACAAATTGACTTCAGTTTCTCAAAGATGACAAACAGCCATTGCTTCTTTGTCCCAGAATCCAACGGTGTGACCTAATATTTGTAGCACCTGGGAGGAACTTTTTCAGCCTACAGTCTCCTTCCTGGGCCTAAATCTACAAGCTGATCTCATGGATGCAACACCAGCTTTACACCCGTCTCCCCCTTCTTGTGTAGCATCTTGCCTAACTACAAGATCTGGAGAACTTGGAAGCTTGTCACATTTTAGGGATATTTGGGACATTCCCAATAAAGATGTTGCCTAGCTGTACATTTTGGAATTCTTTTCATAATTCAGCCTAATGCAGCTACTTTTGCTCTCTTTTTCATTGGTTGTGGACTTTCATGAGAGAATATTAATGCTGCTTCATGGTTGGTATGTTTGGAAGATGGAAGGTGCAGAGAAACAGTTTTATGGGAGTTTGAATCTGAACTGCTGGGTTTTTAGTTGGATGGCTTTCAAAGAGGATTAGACAGATTCATGGAAGACAAGGCCAACTATTGCTACTAGCCACTACCTCCACAGTCAGACACATTGATACTTCTGAAAACCAGTTGCTGGGAAATGCAGGAGGGGAGAGGGCTCTTGTGCTCGGGTCCTGTTTGTGGACTTCCCACAGGCATCTGGTTGTCCATCATGAATACAGGATGCTGGACTAGATAGGCCACTGGCCTGATCCAGCAAACGCCTCTTATGTTCTTAGCTGGACTGTAAAAAGCCTGGGAGGCTGCAGGAATCCTACTGTTCCGGGAATCTGATGTGGAAACAGTGGGCGGTTTTAAACTTAATGGTTATGCCTGTACAATCACTTCTAGCTGTGCAATGTAACTTCTTCACACACACCCTAAATATGCTATTGGGTTTCTCCAACCCTCTGGAGCAGATTCAGGGACACAAAGTGAGAAAGAAATAAAATCCTGTAATGCTAACTCTGGGCTTTTCATTGCTTGGGGAAATGAGAAGTGCATTACTACGCATAACAGGAATGAACAACACGCACTTTCAGTCATTTTATTTTCTTTAATACTGTACATGGTTTGTTTGTTTTTAAATGGCTTATTGCATGATCCAGGGAGTATCCTCCTAACTGGATTTAGAATTGCAGGGAAAGAACTGAGATTGCAAAGGAAGAAGTATTGAATGTGCTACTATTCCCACCTCAACAACCACACCCTAACCACAGCTGCTGGCAGCAAAGGAGCATCAGGGACTTCTTACTCATGAGTAGGCTGATGACTCTGGGGCTGAAGATGTATGCTGCATCGTTGTTCTTCAACCCAAACCAAAGCTTTTTACACTGGTGCTCAAGGACTGGCGGATGGCTCCAGCTCCTCCTCTGACAGTTCCTGGGGTTCTTCATTGGATATCAACCCAGAAAGCCACTGAAAGGGATGCTCAGCATTGGATTTAGGGGGCTTCCTTCTCCTCAAGATCTTTGAACCACAGGGTGCCTGGTTCATTCTCTGAGGCTTCAGTGTCTGGCCCTGGTCAGAGCTAGGCATGGCAGCTTACCACTGAATAGGTATGGACAGGAGGCTAAAATAAAGCAAATTCACATGCCTAGCTAAGCTGATGCAGCGAGCCTTGCTGTCTCTCTCTGAGGTGCACAGTTCACATAGACACTTCTGGAAAGGGATGTGTCATGTGGTTTGCTGGTTCCAGCTGAGCCAGTGGAAGAGTCTTGCCATCTCACCTCTTCTGTACATAATGCAGGCAGATAGAAATAAATTTTTATCAACCACAGAGACCTCTGCTTTTGATTTATTTTGAAGTAATTTATTTATTTCACGCATATGCCACCTTTATCTTCCAATGATATCAAGGTTGTTTATGTCAGGAGCTCGTCCTACACTCGAGTAGGACCCTGGTAGAGACACATGCCCGACTGGCATGTTCTCTCCCTCCTGGTCATTCGTTCAGGAGCTTCATAAGCTTTCTTCAGCCTGAACATCATAGCGACCAATGCCAACAGACACCGACACACTTAGGGATCCGCAAAGTCTTCGCAGCTTGCGTAACAGACCTCAGCAACTCAGCATTTTGGCTAATCTACTTTATTTACATATAAATACACACAGAGCACTGCAACATGGCTCCCTCTCTCTCTAGCATCAGACAGCAAAGAGAAAAAGAACAAAGGACAATAGTCTCACTTCACGGAACACAGTAACGCAAACATCCTGTCTCCGTCACTTCCCACTCTGTGGAGTCAAAACATACACTGTCATGTGATAGACAACAATCCCATGACTGCAATCGTGGAGCAGGAATTCTAACAGTTTACACGGTTCTCCTTCTCCACATTTAATCCTCACAACAACCCTGAAAAGTAAGCTAGGCTGAGAGATGGTGACGGGCTCAAGGTCACCCAGTGAGCTTCATGGCTGAGTGGGGATCCAAACCCTGATCTCCAAAGTCATCATCCAACACTCTATCCATTACATCACAGTGTTTTACTGTGAACCAAGGAAGATATCAGACACTCTTGGAAGATATTTTTGGGATTAAGGAACCACTCATTTATATTCTGCCTTTTTGCTGCTTGACTGCATGACTTGACCACAGCTAGAGTTT